GTGTGCACGAGAGCCTGTGCTCAGTGGACACCGCCTCCCTCTCGGCGCCGGGGCCCCCTCCGGGGCAGCCTGGGCCGCGTGGCTGCATGGGGCAGCCCAGCCTCTTCCAGGCCCCAGTCTCCCCGACCCTAGCTGAGCACCTCCCGCCGGCCCTGCAGCATCATGAGGCCCCTGGCCTCCTCACGTCCCCTGTGCCCTCGAAGTCCCTGGCCCCTGCTGCCGCCCCTGCACCTCCTGCCCAGCTGCCCTCCACCACTTGCTCCAGCTTTCTGGGGCCTTCCTTAGAGCCCAGAGCCCTACTGCCCAGCCCCCCAGCCCTGACTGCCCCCCTGCAACCTCTTGGGCAGGAGCACCCCACTGGAGGGAAGCTGGGGTCCTCACCCTACAGCCCCTTGGCTCCCCTAGGGCTCACAAGACTGCAGAGTGGGGAGCCCACACCAGCTCCTGCTTTCTCTGCAGCAGACTGGCAAGGGCTGGGTGTGGGTACCAGCCCCCACCCTCTCCCGGCCTTCTCTCTGCTCTCCTCTGCCCACATCTGCTTCTGACTCTCCCTGGAGCCAGGGTGGCCACTTCCTCAGGCTCAGGAAGCAGCCTCAGCACATGGGGGCACCCTGCGTTTCACTCGGCGCTGCCCTGGGCTGACTAGCTGGCCCAGGCCCTCACAGGAAAGGGAGGCTTTTGGGCCTACGACACAGACAGGCTGCTATCTCCCTATCTTATTTCAGCCTCACCCCGCTCTTTTAGATAAACAGAGGCTCAGAGAAACTAAGTGACTTGTCCAAGGTCACACAGCCTTCCCTGGGACCAGAAACACTTCCATCTGCCCACCCAACCCCCTCTAATGGCCAGATCCTGGCCCAGGTGCCCTGGAGGTCAAAGTCCTGGGAACTGAGGCTGGTGTGAGGAGTGGGGCGGGCCTCTCCTCTTCCCGGAACTGCCCGAGCTGGGGGCAGTCCAGAGTTCAAGGTTGGGCAGGGAGGGGCCAAGAAGGAGCGCAGGTGTGGCCTCTCCCCTTCCTCCAGCAGTGCCCTGGGTGCCAAGGAGGAGTTTGGTGGCTGAGGGTTGGTTGGAGTGGGCTTAGCCCTAGAGCAGTCCACCCGGGAATTTCTTCCTTCTAAGAGGGCTGAGTCCCCACGCCACGCCAGAACTCTGGGGAATACTGCGAGCTCAGCTCTTTAGGCTCTTCACACAGCTCCCTGCCTCCAAAAGGCCGTGGTGGGTGGGCTGAGAGCCCCTCATGGCGTGCACACAGGGCAGGAGGAAAGACTGAGGGCGGGGCAGCTGCAAGGTTGTTAACAAGCAAGTGCCAGGTTCCCGGGCCTGTGTTTCAGCAGCCTGTGTCTCCCCCTGTACGCCCTTGCCCCGTCCCGCCCCGTTACACTCCACGCCTCCACCCCAGAGCTCCCCTACTGCTCTTGGCCAGGACTGATGGAGCTGGAAGAGCAGAGGCTGCGACCAGGAGGGGTTCCGCTCTGGCATCTGCTCAGAGAGGGAGCTTCTCCCTCAGACTCCAGGAGGGGCGCTCTAAGGGGCTAGAGATGGAAGGCCCCGGCTCCTTGCCCAGATTTTCACAAGCGTGTAAGCAAAACACTGCGATGGCGTTTAGCACAGTCCGGGATGGCGAGCATGAGCCCCAGCACATGTGCTGTGGGAAATAAAGTAGCATTTCCAATCTCCGTGCTTTGGCTGGTTGTTGAAAGCTCTGGGTCTACTCTGTAAAGTGGAAACCAAACAATCTTTGAAAGAAGAAAGAACCCCCGAAAGGATAAAATACCTAGCAATTAACCTAAGCAGGAACATACATAAAAGACTTAATGATGAGAATTATAAAACACTACCACAT